TATTTCAGAAATTTTGCTGTATAATATCATCTCAATTTAATGTTGTTTTTTGTTAATTAATATTTATATATTCATGTTAATTACAAAAAAATAGTAAGTAAATTACATGAAATATTCTTCCTAAACACAATCAACAATAAATTATTGGCTGCATTCAGCAGACTCAACAGTTCCAGAGCTGTTGAGTATTTTTCTGCTGAATGCCTTTACAGTAACACTCTTTTGGAACAAGTTTGGTATTTTGACGTCACATTTAGTAACGTCTTTCATTTACACTACCTATTGCTACCTGAAACTGACCAATGAAGCTTTTTGTTCCAATGCAATGTCACTCATCCTTCAGTAGATCCAGGTTGCTATGCAACAGCTACTGATTTGCTCAGTTACAACTGTTGAGTCTACTGAATGTGGCCATTGACAGCATACTTCCATGTTTGTTGGAAACATCTATACCTGTTGAAACAGATACAATTAACTTTCTAAATATACAATAATTGCACAATTATGCTTTATATAATTACATCATTTCTCTGACTATTAGTTTTACTTTTCCATCTACTATATAACAAAGGAAAAGTATGACAATCAATCAAAAAATGACCCCAAAGATTTTGAAACATCAAGAAATGCAATAAAAATTTTTATGTACAGTACTAAGGATTGTATATATATGGCGCAATTTTTATCCACTTTGAAGCTTAACTCCTATGCCTTTTTGTCAAAAGTTTCTGTAATTTAGAATGGAAGTTTGTATATTGGGGGAAATGTTTTTAGAAATTTCCAGATAAATTGAAGCATTAGTTTGGAAGGTATGGGCTCACACCCCCTTAATATCCCCAAACTAGTCTGAAGACTTTTAAATGTAATGGTGTCAATTATTTGAGATGAAAATAAATAATGCTGAGGACGTTTAGCAACAATATTGTCAGCTTTTTAAAAACAGATCTTAGTAATGTTATACTTTGATGTTAAAAGAAATTAAATAATTGGTTTTTAGCTATCATTTTTCTTCTTTTTAAACCTATGATCACTCATTAACCAGAATAATTATTAATTTATATATTGATCAATATGCAATCAGGTACAATAACACTGTTATTTAGTTATACAGTGGAATCTAGTTAACTCAGTCATTTTCTTTCCCTAATCATCCAGCATGGATTTACATGTGAAATCAAACTGCTATTCCTTGAACTGTTTAACTCTGGGTTTTGATACAATATTTTCATAAACTCTCCCAAATTTTAATATTCTGTTAAATAAAATAATTAATGTTCATCTATCAAATAAACTAATCAGAAACTTTCTATAAAGCATGGAAACCATGTATGACAAAAAATAAATGTCGTGATGACAGACAGGGGCGGTGGCTTCTAGGCAGTGTGTTTGACCTAGATACTGTAACTATCGTTCAAACCTGCCTTTATTTTTTTATTTGATTGTTGATGGATTTCTCTGACTAGCTGACATAATAAATGAATTTTTGACAAATTAATTTTTAAAAAATGATTTTAAGTTACATTGATGTATTTGTATATTCAATCGCAAGGTAAAAAAACTGAAAGATAGTGGAATCTGTAAAAAGATTGTCACTGTGGTACGACATATTACGACAAAACAAATTATAATTGATGGAAAAGTTGTCAAAACTCTAGTCGTTGAGGTAAGTCTATTTAAAAAACTGTAAAATTATTAAAATTAGAAAATATTTATATATATTATAATTGATATGAATTTTGTAAAAAATTTAATTTAAATTAGATANCCTGAGGAAGAACTATCTGGACAGCTCGAAAACATTTGTGAAAGGAAGATTTTTTTATTTGAATTGTTTTGGATCTAATGATGTCATATGTAGTCTTGGTGATTATAATAAAATTCTGTGTAAAAAAATTTTTTCTGCAAAGTAAACTTTGTGTAAAATTTTTAAAATATAAGAATTATAAAGAGTGATATGTTTTCACATTCCTGAGGCTGCTCTTCGCCAGCATCACCTTCCTGAGGAACTTATCAGTGGGTACAATTGCTCTACTGCAATCCAACAAGCCGTGTTCGTGGCATTGCTGGGACCTCAAAACCATTCTGTGTCTCCATCAGTGTTCACCAGGGCTCCACTCTCTCCCCACTTCTCTTTATCGTTGTCAAGGATGCCATCACATGCGACATCCAGCAAAATGTACTATATACATTACTGTATGCTGATAATGTGCTCCTCGCCTCCACTGAAAGATCAACCTGCAGCAGCTCGTCCAGATGTGGTGTAGTCACCTCGCACAATATGGCCTCCAACTGAACCTGAAGAAGATTGAGTACTTAACAACAGACCCGACTGAGAAAGGCACAATCATTGTCGATGGCGTCATCCTTCCTTGAGCTGAGCAGTTTAAATATCTTGGGTCTGTGATCTCTGCCGATGGAGACTTGTACCATGAGGCAGTTGCACGCGTCAGTGCCACTTGGCTGAAGTGGCGCTCAATAACAATTGTGCTGTGCGACCGACACATCAAGGACCAACTTAAGTCAAAGATTTATCAAACCATTGTCTGGCCTGTTGCACTGTATGGGGCTGGGTGCAGGCCAACTACGAAGGTTGTCGACTGCCGACTTGCTACTATGGAGACTAGGATGTTGCGCTGGATGAGTGGCCTTACCAGACTTAATTGAGTACCCAATGTAGACATCAGAGCTCGGTATAGCATTGTTGAGATCAACAAGAAAGCGTGCAAGTGCCACATGCGCCTTTATGGCCATGGGCTCCGTGCTGACGCCGACTCCATCATTCACATTGGCCTAAATTTGGAGGTACCTGAGTCCCACCCAAGGGGCCGCCCAAGGCAGCGTTGGCTGGACACACTACATCATGACCTGCAAGCCGTAGGCCTACACCCAGACCAGGCCCATGATCAGGCCAAATGGAGATTCAAAATAAAATCCAGATGTGCCGACCCCGCTGTTAAACGGGACTAAGGCCAAAGAAGAAGATAAAGAGTGATATGTTTGTGATAAAAAATAAAAAGCAAATCAATTCTAGATACAAAATATAGACTTAAAAAATTTTACTAAGCACTTTGGAGTGACAGATTAACCCATTCAGGAAAGCCTTTCTCAGTAGCTTATTTACCTAGTTGGTTAAGCATTTAGAGTTTCTGGACAACACTGAGAGGTTACATTGACACGATAATTCTAAATAATAAGACCCAAGTAAATATTGTATGGATAATTTATTATGGGTCACTGATAAACCAATGCACAAAATCTTGAGTTTTAGCTAAACCTCCATAACTCAGAATCCAAATTTTTTTTCTCCTGACCAACCCAAGTTAACTAGATTCCACTGTATTGGAAATTAATGAATATTACATAGTGGGAGGTGTATTATTTACTCTGTTTTTTAAACTGCAGCTTTACTTATTGAGTTGTCATGCAAAGCTACAAATGGTTTTTGAATGGTCCTATATACAAATCATTAAAGTATTATATTAGTAGTTTTAGTAGGGAGGATGAATCAATAAATAAAGGAAATTCTGAGTTGGTGTTAATATACTTTTTAAAAAACAATAAACTTACAAAAATCACAAACATACAGGAACTTTTGATAGTAGTCAATTCTGTCCTTCAAGCATATAGAATTTGAACAACAAATGGTTTTTGAAGTCAATGGTTGAATTCAAACACAGTAAAGAACTAGTTATAAAAATTCAATAAGAGTTACAATTTTTGAACAAATATAATTAAACATGATAGCATTTATATATAAATTTCAATTCAGATATTAAATCACAGAAATATACAGAATTACATTAATGATATGATGATTCTCATAAACTAAAATCATTGGCATAATCAATTAATAAATTTTAGTGTGATATTCATTTCTAAGCCCATTTGTGTTAGATTATTTATAATAGTGCCAAGGATTAATGCAGCATTCTATAAAGGGATAACCCATATTCTGTAAAGTGCAGAGTTAGGCAATTGCACGGTTGTATGAAGTTGTACTGCATACAACTGTGAACAGTAAATTAGTATAGATTCTCACATGAAGAGATGCAACTTCTGAAACAGTACAAAAATCAAGTACTCTATGAATCTTATTAGTAATACAGTTACAAAACTGTTACAATTTTCATAATGGTTTATGCATCTTACTTGGAATTTTGCCTGAAGATGGTCTGAAAGACTGAAAATGTTAGTGAAATCAAAGTTAAGAAATACTAAGATTAGTGTGATATGTTTGTTTATTTAGTTGTCAATCTAGTTATGTTTATCTCACATAGTAAGTTTTTTAAAAACATTTTCAATTTTATGTTAAAATCAGTTTTTTGTTGAATGTATTATTTGAATTGTATAGAAAAAATTCCGACGGAACACTTCGAAAAATGGAATATAGATATTTAAATAAAACGAATCTAAAAATAGAACGCAGATGTTTAAGATGTTCCGAAGTGTTCCATCAGAATTTCTTCTATACCTGAGGAAGAACTATCTGGACAGCTCGAAAACATTTGTGAAAGGAAGATTTTTTTATTTGAATTGTTTTGGATCTAATGATGTCATATGTAGTCTTGGAAAATATTTAATTGTAATAAATTAGTATTATTTAAAAATTGCTAATAAAGTTTAAATTTGCATACATATTAAATATTTTTATTTCAGAAGAAATTTCTACTACCATATAAATTTATCCTAGATTCAGGCTTTATATGCCTACCCCTACATTTTCTGCTAGTTATGTGAACGGTTGTATTGATGTTAATATGAATCTGGAAAGTAGCCTTGCCACGATGAAATTAACATTAATGACTAGAAAATTAGATCTTGAATTTCCTAATTAGATCTTATAACTAATTAAAAAAATTTTATTTCTTTATCTTCATAGTGATCTCAATAAAATAAAACTAAAAAATAATTGTTATATTGTATATAATATTTTAATATGTAGTAATTATCTACAATGTTTTATTATTATTAATCCATTATTTATAAATAAATTTTAATAGGAGTTGGAAAATCCTGTTTGTTGTTGCAGTTCACAGATAAGAGATTTCAACCAGTCCATGATTTAACTATAGGTGAGAAAATTTATATATTTTAATGTTTGACTTTGTATCGACCTAAAATGATTTTTAAAGAATTATGGTTCTAATTAAAATAACTTTATAAATTTTTATAAACATTTTAAATAATATTAGTAAATAATACGGTTTTAAAAATAAATTGAATATTTTTAATTTTGCATTATTTATTATGTTTTATTTAATTTATTGTACATGAAATATTAAAACTTAAACACAGAATTCAAAGTTTGTCCACAAATACTTCATATATACAGAGTTTTTAAAAGTAAATGCAGGATTACATGTGGTTATTATGATAGCAGTGGCGTGACATCCTTGGAAGCAGTGGTAGTGCTGCTTCCCTTGAATTTTCTAAAATATAAAAACATATTGTGCGATTATTTTCATATTTGAACATTGAATAATTAAAATTAATATTTTATTATAACCACATTATGTATCTTATTACAAATTTCTATACTACATGTGAAAAAAATGATAATAATGCTATTTGAATATCAATGGCAGAATGGAAGTGCTGTATTGTTGAAACTGGGTCAGCTTCCAAGCAGCCAGATTATATGCATTTGCACATGTGCTTTACAGAGCACCAACTGCATGTGGTTTAGCTAGTGGAAGCTACACACCAAAATGCTTCCAATGATTCTATCCAGGACTGGTTCTGGGCTATTAGCTGCCTGCGTGCTAGATGTTTGGCCGTCCTCGCTCCATTATATGAATCGCAAGTAGATTTATAACTTAATCCAACCAATAGGAGTTTACTGGTATGTTCTAATGATAGTTCTGTATAGTTGACAGGAGTTTTAAAAAAATTCATTAAAATATTTGATATTTTTATTCTGCTCTCCCATCTTGATATTACGATTTAGTATGTTCCATCTATAAGGGGATGTAGAAAAAAACGTGTACAAATCTTGTACAATGTTGAAAATTAAATGTTACTTTGGCAGCATCATTTATTACTAAATTTAATGAATGATATGCACAAGGTATGAAAAAAAACTCTAGGATTTATATTCCTTAAATTTATGATTTATGTATTGTTGTCGTAAAAATTTCTCTTTCCACTTTTTTCCCAAGACTACAAATATTCAAGTACAAAGTAACCGGTTTCAACTTATTTCTACTTAAGTAGTAGTTAAATAATTAAAAGATTAGGGAATTAGGGACCTAATAAAACCCTGATGAAAGAGCTGAAATTTTACTTAAACAAAAGCTTAACCAAACCAATCACTAGCCAAGTACAGTGGGGACTAATTTCTTTGTAATATTAGATGTAATAAAGACAGAATTTTTCCATTTCAATGAGAATGACTGAAAAGTTGTAAATTTTGGAAATATCCATGGACACCTGGTCCTAAAATGAATTAGTTAGAAAACAAATGACTATTAAGTTTAACATATGTAGATTTTTACAGCTATGGTGAGAAACGTTTAAAATTTACAACAACCCTGTTGTGTCCTTTGAGGTATACACACTAGTGATGCGACAAAAGTGGCATTTGACATTGACTGGTATCGGCACCTTCGGGATTTGGCAACCCATGTGCATTCAACACACTGCACACCTACCAGGACGTCTCTGATTCCATTCACTAGCCACTGGTAGGGAGCTAGTTGACTAAGTAGATTGTTTTAAGATTTAAAAAGTAAAGATTTTACATTATTTTTATGCACGTTTCTTTACAAAGCTATATTCAATTATAATTTTCTTTAAAAGTATATTCATACAATTGAAGAATATTTTGTACCAGGTATATATATCCACCACACATTTTATTTCACCAAGTAAGTTTTTATAATTTTATTTTTAATTTTAGCCCTTATATCGTGGCTAGCGATTCAAAATGTAATTGCGATATTGAAAATTTATTTTAAAAAGTTTTGGCTCAAGACCATATAATGAAAAAGAAAACATTATTATAAGAGAAAGACCAATGCCTAAATTAAATATAAATACTTCAATAAAAAATTTTTTTAACATTTTCACGATAAAATTTATGAAGACAAAATGGCTTTATGGATGCATAGAAATGCCAAAATTATTTTGTTGGCCTTGCCTACTATTTTCAAATGAAATTAGTGTGTGGAATAAGAATGGCTTTGACGATTTAAATAATTTGAGTAAAGCTGGCAAAAGACACAAAAATCATAAATGTCGCATTGATTCTTTCATAAAATTGAAGCAATTTGGAAATCAAAGCAGAATAGAATTTAACATTAGTAAATAATATAAAATAAATATTGAAAATTATAACAAGATAATTATGGCTAATAGATATAATATATCTAAATTAATAGATGTTATATGTTTTTTTCAAAGCAAGAATTGGCATTTAGAGGGCATAGGGAATCTATTGAATCTAATTACAGAGGTAATTAATTATATTGAACTTGCTTATTTATTAAGTATGTCAGGTAATCTATTAAAAATACATTTAAAGAAGTGTACAGTTTTTACTGGCTTATCAAACAAACGAATACGAATGGATCCTGACACGGAATCTACTGATTTTCCCTGTAAGTCGGCTTCTTACAGAAACACGTCTTCCCTATCATCAAATGTCATGGCACGCCACTGTATGATAGACTAGAAATTCTCCCATCAAGCATGATGGAATATTTTTTATGAGAAAGTAGAGATTGAAGAATTGAGAAGAGTTTCAAGTCAAGCTTAATGTTGTGATACTGCTCAAGTTGGACTTCACAGCTTTCGGGGGTCTTGTTTGTTCTTATTCTTTTAGATCTAGAATTTACTTGACCATTTTTACTCTTATGGTTTTTTTTTTTTTGACAAAATAGCAAGTCATTTTAATTCCATATTGATAATTTAGTCCAAACATGACCAAAATCTTTGGTCTAAATTATCAATATTGTACATACGTTAATTAATTAGATGAGTGATAACACTTTCTAAATAACGGGCTCATTAGATAGATAGTTCCAATTGGATAATAGTGTGTCATGTGGTCACTATGGAAAGATTTTTTTAAAAGAAGTGACCTGATACAGCTATCATATAAAATATGCCATTTGCCAAAATATGTAAAAATGCAACTTAAGGGAAATTCCCTTGTCGAGCATGAATGTCACGTGGTCACTGATATCACTGCAACAATAGTGAGATCACTGATCCAAAATTGATAAAACATTTATTCTATAGGTAATATTTGTGCAAAATAAGTAGGCTATACTTTCCATCAGAACATAAAATGAATATAACTAAAATTTCATCTAGATTGGACAAAATTGCAGGATAAAAGCAATTTGCGTGTGTGCGATGGATTTTATATTAGTAATATTAAAGAAGCCAGTGATAATTACAATCTGACCTAACACAGAAGTCTAAATTTACTAATGCTGTACAAAAAGTATATACACTCAGCAGTGGAGCTTCAAATTAATCTGTTCCAAAACAGAACTTTAGGATTTTATGCTGTAATATGATTTGATGATCAAATTATGTGGCTTATGATTAATTTAATAATAATCTATATAATTATAATAAATTTATAAAAATTAAATTTTAATGTTAATAATTTTTGTCTTCTGAAAATGATGTATGAAATACAGTTTGAATATAATAATTTTATATATGTGTAATTATTTCTCAGGTGTTGAGTTTGGTGCTCGTATGATTACAATTGACGGAAAACAAATAAAGCTCCAAATTTGGGATACTGTAAGTTAATTTTATTTTAAATGTTTACTGTAAATTGATTTTTTTATTGAATTATCAGTAAATTAATTTACTCAGAAATATATATATTTTTAAATTAGCTGAAGTTATATTCTTTAATTCATGTATATAAGAAAACTGAAGTCTCTTGAATTGTTTATTATATCATTGTCTACATTGGACTTTGTATATTAATAGGACTTATTCCTATTAATATACAAATATAAAGAATTTATTAAAGTAAGGACATAGAAGCTGAATAATGAAGTCTCTTGAAGTTTTATACTTTTAAAACAATTTTGATTAATATGTCTCTAACATTTTCATTTTATTACAGTCGACCCCCCCTATAACATGGTAGATAAGTTTCGTTTTTTATGAAATTGATGTTTTAGGAGACCTTGCCAATCACAGCCCGACACACGTGAAGTTTATGGACTATGGCTGTTTGAAAGGTTTTCTTCCATAAAATTAATTGATTCCTAGACTAATTCAACTCAACATTTCCAAAATACGTATATTTTTTTGGGAATAATCTGTATAAACTATGCTATAAACAAAAAAATTGTAGGATTACTTACCGAGTTTGCACCGTTCGACGTCGCCATTGCCTAAGTTTGTTTTCGTCGCGGAGCAGCGCACCAAACGGTGGGCACGATTTCTGATAAGTTATTTTTCTGCAAAAACTTTGTTGAACTTTGGAGACATCATTAATATAAATAATTTTTATGGCCGTTGAATAAGAAATGTTTCTTTCACAAGAAATGTATAAAATTAGTGCTGTATTAGACTTACAGTACCNAGCTCCAAATTTGGGATACTGTAAGTTAATTTTATTTTAAATGTTTACTGTAAATTGATTTTTTTATTGAATTATCAGTAAATTAATTTACTCAGAAATATATATATTTTTAAATTAGCTGAAGTTATATTCTTTAATTCATGTATATAAGAAAACTGAAGTCTCTTGAATTGTTTATTATATCATTGTCTACATTGGACTTTGTATATTAATAGGACTTATTCCTATTAATATACAAATATAAAGAATTTATTAAAGTAAGGACATAGAAGCTGAATAATGAAGTCTCTTGAAGTTTTATACTTTTAAAACAATTTTGATTAATATGTCTCTAACATTTTCATTTTATTACAGTCGACCCCCCCTATAACATGGTAGATAAGTTTCGTTTTTTATGAAATTGATGTTTTAGGAGACCTTGCCAATCACAGCCCGACACACGTGAAGTTTATGGACTATGGCTGTTTGAAAGGTTTTCTTCCATAAAATTAATTGATTCCTAGACTAATTCAACTCAACATTTCCAAAATACGTATATTTTTTTGGGAATAATCTGTATAAACTATGCTATAAACAAAAAAATTGTAGGATTACTTACCGAGTTTGCACCGTTCGACGTCGCCATTGCCTAAGTTTGTTTTCGTCGCGGAGCAGCGCACCAAACGGTGGGCACGATTTCTGATAAGTTATTTTTCTGCAAAAACTTTGTTGAACTTTGGAGACATCATTAATATAAATAATTTTTATGGCCGTTGAATAAGAAATGTTTCTTTCACAAGAAATGTATAAAATTAGTGCTGTATTAGACTTACAGTACCTAATTTACGTACTGTACAGACGATAGTAAACTCAACTTACTCGCCTAAACTCTCCGTAGTGTGGCGCTGGACAGCGGAAAGTATATATATAATTATAATAAAGTTACAATAAATTAAGTTAATATATAATTATATATACAGTACCTAATTTATATATAATTAATATATAATACTGTACAGGCGATAGTAAACTCAATTTACCCGCCTAAACTCTCCGTAGCGTGGTGCTGGACGGCAGCAAGTAGTTCGGCTGCCCGATGACGTTTTACCAAATTATAGGAGTTTTTTTACCATGTTTGTATGGATACTGTCACAGTTTTTTCGCCGTCATATAGGAATCCGAACTATAGGAACCTGTGTTATAGGGGGGTCGACTGTATTATATAAATTGATATTTTCTTCTTAACAAAATTTTAGTGTTGTCATAATTAGAATTTTAAAAATTTGTTTAGTGGTGAAATAATAATAATAATACATTGCTTTAATACTGTTTAATATAATGCATGGATTAAAAGGTTATGAAGATGAAATTTCGACATTTTGAAAGAGAACTTTATTGACAGTTAACTTGACAATGATTAAAATTTAATTTTCTAGGTAATCACCATCAATATCAACCATATTTTGCCACCTTTGCTACAAAATTTCAGTCCTGTGAATATAAAGCAACTGGGGTTTTTCTTTTGATGAAAGTGTTATTGAACTGTATATTGGTAACATTGTTTTGCAGGGTAGTAGTAATAATAAGACAGGTATCACTCTTTGGTACGACCTGTGTTATGGAAAAAGGGGGAAGATGGGGTGGGGATGAAAAGAAAAGGGTTGGGATCCATGGGCATCCTGTGATGGTGTTTATAAGGAATAATCAGCAGAAAAAACAATAACGATAACAAGAATGTTACAGAGGAATACAGGTTGGGAGTGCCACGTTACAGATTGCAAACAGCACTAACATATGAACAGGTAATAATGTAAATACAGTGTGCAGATTAATAATGTTACAAGAAATTACATGTTGAGAGCTGTCTGACAAATCATAGACAGTACAAACATAACAGATGACAAACAAATGTACATTATGCAGATTAACAATAGTGCAATAGTTACATGGGGAGTGCTATGTGACAACGACAGATAGCACAAACGTATTAATAGGTAACAAACGTAAAAACAGTATGCAGAATAATATTGATACAAAGTAGTTACATGTTGAGTGCTATTTGGCAAATTGCAGATAGAACAAACATAAAAACAGATGACAAACATATTTACAGTATGCAGATTAACAGTGCGTAAACTAGATACAGGGTGGTTGCTAGGTGCCAGAATACAGATAGCCCAAGCAAATTAACAGGTTACAAACGTATATACAGTTGATATTACCAGGGTTACACTAAAAGCATAGACAGTGATTTTTATTAACACGTGGTGTTAACATTATAGTTTAGTAGATTTGCATGACTACAAGGGAACAGCCACTGAGTAAGTGTTTCTCATCCTCTTTGTAAGCACTTTGATGCTCTGCAGGAGCATCAAAGTGCTTACAAATGATTGTACATGTCTTTCTGATATATTAGGGCTTGTAGAGGACACGGGCAGTTATGATTGTTACGAAGTGCAACCTCAATGAGTCTATCTCTGTTGCTGTCGAAGAGTGGACAGTCAATTAACAGGTGAAGGTAGTCTTGTTTGTTGTTCGTGTTGCACCTGCAGATCTCGCTGTCCCATAGCCGGAACCAGTGGAGGTAAGCGTTAAAGTTCCCGTGGCCAGTGAGAACCTGAGTCAGGGTGAAGTTGAGAACAAGATGCCTGCAACTCAGCCTGACAGAGATGTCTGGAATGAAGCCATGAGTGGGACTGCCTGTAGTGCAGTTGTTCCAGTCTTCTTGCCAAGTTTCCAAAAGTTGGTTATAGATCCATTTATGGATAGTGGAAGGCAGTATCTTACTGCAAGAACAAGGAAGGGATGAGACCGCAGCTCTTTTGGCGAGAGCGTTAGCTGCTTTGTTCCGCTCCATCACAAAGTGGTCATGGACCTAGTTCAGGGTGATGTTACGGTGGTGGTTATTACATTGGGACGAGACTGCAGCTCTTTTGGCGAGAGCGTTAGCTGCTTTGTTCCGCTCCATCACAGAGTGGTCATGGACCTAGTTCAGGGTGATGTTACGGTGGTGGTTATTACTGATAAGCATTTTCTGAATGGTGGTAACATTGCAGCCATTATTGTTGGTGTTGGAAATTGAGTGAAGAGCTGTAATGCTATCTGTGTAGATGGCTATTTTCTTTTTATGGGAGAACCAGTCTTCATTGATGTGGTGGAATGCCTTGGTGATGGCGAAGATCTCCGCCTGTAGACGGAACAGTATTTACCAAGCTTGAAAGCAGACCAGTGAGTAATATTGCCTGCTTTGTTGTACACGATAAAAGCTGCGCCCACTTGATCCTCTTGCTTGAACCGTCCATGTAGATTTTATAATCATGGTCATTCTCATCATGGCAAGTGGGGTCCTGGATGTTCATGAAAAGAGTCATATCTATATAGAAGTTTGAAATTTTCTTCTCAATACCATTGGTAATGAAGTTGTTTTGCAGGGTGAAAAATAGATGGTAATCAGTTGGTGAAAAGTCTGGGCTGTAAGGTGGATGAGGTAGAACTTCCCAGCTGAGATTAAATTAATTAACCAGCTTCTCTAAGTCTCACTTTTTGCTCTATATACTGGTTCATTATCAAGTTGGTGTTAGACTTTGTCAATTTTTGGAGTTTATGGGAACACTTGAGTAGTTGTGCTGTGGTGGTTGACCATAGATTATTGTTTATCAGTTGCATGAGAATATCATTGCTATATCAAACTGCTACCCAATGAGGTTTATCTTGAAGCTAAAAATTTCTATTCTTGAACTAATTGTAGTAGGTATGCTTGATGACCGTCTTTGTCAAATACCTTGCAGATGAGATCATGAGCCTTTGTTGCATTGTGGCCACTTTTGAAGTGATAGAGCAACAGCATGTAAATGTGTTCTTTTGAAAGTTTCATATTGTCAGACATTTCTGATATGTCTACTTTTAATGAAATATGTGAAGAAATGCCCCAATTGAGTAATTGGGGCACTCTACTTATATATGACATAGAAATGTTCTAGAACTTTTTTAGTTGTTGCTAGAAAAAATTCAAAATGCCTAAATTTTACCTACAAAACCTGATATAAAGAGTTAAATTTACAATATACAATAATTTTTTAAAATAGTCAAATAACTAGAATTATTTTATAATTGATTCTCTGTAACATTAGTCTAGTTATTTATATTCATAAATATACAACAGCATTTATTTGTTAATATAGGCTGGCCAAGAAGCTTTTCGTTCCATTACAAGATCATATTATCGAGGTGCTGCTGGAGCACTTTTAGTATATGATATTACCAGGTATTTAAAAATAATTATTACAAACTAATTTTACTATAATTCAGAGATTCATCATTTCAGATGCAACAGTCTTTTAAAAAAACTATTTACTATATTGATAACCATCTGTTGTTTGTGTTATTAAACAATGTAGTGCTGTAGATGAGCAGTCTGCAACCTTTCTGACCTCACGGACCACCAAACTCACAATTTTGAATCCTGTAGACCACTATCATGAATTTTTTTAAACGATACAAAATCTACAGAATAATAATCATAAAAGTTCAATTTTACTATATTAATATGAAACTCACTTGTTTAAATATAACAAATTAATGCAAGTCTAAAGTTCATTGCTGCTTGTTTGAAATAAGGTTATGGATTCTTAGTGCTTTTCCACTAAGGAAGACAATCAGACTCACAATATTATTTATTGATAACAATTGCTTTATACTTGGTTTAGATTTGAATAAAAACCCCAGTGAGTGAAAAAAAGCAACTAAGCATTTTGCATTTCTTTTGTAATACTTTGTGTAACCTTCAGTTGATCAATGTCCAAATTTCTCCGTGGACCACCCAAATTTTCTCGTGGACCATCAATGATCCACAGACCACCAGTTGCCAACTGCTGCTGTAGATGATGACATATTCAGCTGGCAAAGATGCTTCATATAGACTGGCATTAATTTAGCCTCAATAGTGCTAAGAGTTTGCAAAGTGTTACAAAAATTCATTCATTTGTTGAACTATTTATAATGAGTCCTTAGTTTATCATTCATACTAGCTGAGTCCATTATGGGTTAAGCTTATCCACAAATTTATGTTGATTATGCAAACTTCAATATAATATGAGAAAAATCAAAATCAATTGTTTTTAATGACTGAAGATGGTTAAGCAATACTAATCAATGATTGAATTTATGTTAGCATTTGTGATCACAGAAAACTATAGACTTGTATATTTAGCATCTTATATCCACAAGGCAAGAGCAGAAATGATTTGTTTTAATTAAAAAACAATATTGAATCAGTTTTATGATATTTTTATATTTCTTGTATATTAAACATAGTAATATTCCTTCTATATATAAGTCTTTTAGACATAAATGAAATCATATTTAATGAAATAATACTGTAAACTATATTTACATCTAATTTTTAAAATTGAGAAAATTATGGAAAATGTTTTCAGAAGAGACACTTTCAATCATTTAACGACATGGCTAGAAGATGCACGTCAGCATTCCAATTCCAATATGGTTATTATGTTAATTGGGAACAAAAGGTAAATTTTAATTGTTTTAAGATGAAGTAATAGTTGTTAAATATAGGTTTTAATGACGTTTTTTTAACTCTAATTCAATAGTGATTTAGAATCTCGTAGAGAAGTAAAGAAAGACGAAGGTGAAGCATTTGCTCATGAACATGGACTAGTTTTCATGGAAACTTCAGCAAAGACTGCAGCAAATGTTGAAGAGGTAAAGTATTTATAATTAATTCAATTAGAAATATATACATAGATAAAACAAAAATTTGTATTTTTAGGCATTCATTAATACAGCAAAGGAAATTTATGAAAAGATTCAAGAAGGTGTATTTGATATAAATAATGAAGTAAGGTTTTTTTATTATTTGTCAAAACTTTCTTAATTTGCAACACTTTTCTCTTTAATAATAATAATTATTTAAATTAGTTTTAATAACTAAATGATTTCTGAAAAACAAATTTTAAAAATAAGTTGTTATAAACAGATAAACAATATCAATTTATAATTATTATTTTTTATTAATATTGAAATAAAAATACATTTAAGCACTTTTATTTCAATTCATATCAAAATCAATTGCTATAATTTTAAAAATATTATTTTACATTATACTTTTGAATTTTTATGAACATATATCAATGTTAGCTAAATCTCTCTTGTATACAAAATTGTGATTTCATTTTGAAATTTTTGTCCTATTTGATGTAATGTTTTGTGTTGTGTAAACTTCCTCATGTATACTTTTTAAATATTTCTTCTGTTAATAATGAAAGTTAGATTTTCACATCTGCAAAATTACACAAAAATGTAATTTCACAAATGTTAGTAATGTAGGTTTTATTCATTTTGTGGTTTATTTTGAAAATGAGATTAAAAGTTTTTCAGAATAACCAAGTTTAAACACAGGAAAACTATTGCAATATCTTATGTTAATTCATTAATACACTTTATAGCCATACTTAAATACTAATTTAATTTGTGTTTCTAAATTTGAATATTGTATTTCTAGGCAAATGGAATAAAAATAGGTCCTCAACATTCCCCAACTAATCCAAGTATGCCAGCAGGTGGTCAAGGTTCCAATCAGAGTGGGGGATGCTGTTGAGATTTTCTTTATATTCAGTTACTGAGCTACAATTTGTATCAAACCCTGCACAGGAATATTTTATTTATTATATTTTGTATCTACCATAAAGAACAGATTCCTTCCAGTTTAATTGTATAATATTTATTACAGGAATGATTTATCAAAATATAAGCATTTTTGCTAACTTCTATTGCATTTATTATATAAAAGATTTTTGTAACTCCATTTTTTGTTACTCATCTGATTTCTCATACATATTTTTCTGTGATGTTTACTTGTATCTTCAAAAATTCAATTCTCATAAAGTATAAAAATAAAATACCATGTACCATAATATATTAGCAGGGATTGAAATCTAGTCAAATGTTTATCTGTTTGGTGTTTGTCATTGTAATTTGCATAGATGGTAAATGGCAATATTTGCTTAAATGTAATCCATAAAAAAAATCCATTGTATATGGATGAAATAAAATGGGGAAACAAATATATAAATATGTTATTAGTAAGGTTATTTCTTAGGAATCTTTATTTTAGCAAAAAAAACCTTCAAAATCTTGTGTAAATATTTCAGATACGAGGATGTTGTAGGATGCTATGTATGATGGAATATTAGAATTAATGAAAAACTTTTTCTTTGAAATTTCAAAATGCAGTAGCTTATTTTTTTCTACCAATTTAATGGTTGTTGTTATAGAAATGATGATATATTTTGCATTTTTTTTTTATAACCATTCAGTTTTATGTGCTAATTAACAAAAATATCTTTACTCAAATCAGAATTTTGGATTTGGGATAATGTTACTGAATCATGAAAATTTTGATATAAAACTAATATCTTTCTCTTTCATACATAACATCCTGTATTTGTGTTGTTAAATATATAAATTCAAATTAATTTTCCTTATTGCATTATTATAAAAATTTAATCAAAATATCTGAAATATTAAAATTTATGTTTGTTTGTTTTAAAATTTTAATGATCAAATTTAAATAAACTTCTAGGTTTGCTATATTACCTTAAATGATGATCTGTGCTAACAATTTTCCTAAATTTATCATTAAGTGTGAATTGAAATCTTCAATATTCTAACAATCATGAATGAAAGATTTGTACTCATCAATATAAATTTCACACATTTAAAAATGATTTAGTTAGGACATTCTTTCAGAGTAAACATCAAAAAATTAATTTAAATTGTTGAATCAATTTTTCTATAATTTTGATGTTAAATAAAATTTGCATTAAATTTTTTGATATAATTTCATCATTTTCAATATATTCAACTAAAATATAGATTTTTTTTATCAGTACAGGATTAATTTTGCAAATTTTCTGAAGAAAAATTTTTTTATACTTGTTAATTCTATAATAGTAAAATTTATATTTTTATTGTTACAAACATTTTAATATTTTGATATGATTTAATAATAATCTTTAATTTTAAAGTATTGCTAACATATGCCTCATGTTTGAGATTAAAGTTTAGCCACAATTCCACAAATTGTAATATAAATTCTATTTGTGTGTTCTCAATAACAAATGTGCATTTTGAGATACGAAATATTTTTTATTTTATTCCAGTTTACATTTTTTTGTTTTAGTGTTAATACTAAAAAAAGCAATAGTTAGGATTTATAGAATGCTAATGCTGTTAAAAATTTCCTACTAATTTTTTTTTTATGTAATGACAATTGCTATTTTTAATCTATAGGTCAAATTTTTGTCATCAAAATTACATGATACAGATTTAAATTGATAATCTTATTGTTTTTCATTTTAAAATATACTAAAAATATATTAATGTAGCTTTATTGAATTTTTTAATCTATTGATAATATATTTGACTTCATTTTATCATTCACTGGCACAAAATGTTGGTATGTCCCCAGGCATTAAACAAGAAAGTGCAATGAGAGAACTTGATTTACCATAAAAAATTCTTGAAGGTTGTATTAATATTTTTTTAGCATTTCCAGTGTTTTGTTCATTTACAGGTGTATATAAAATGTGCATGTTTCCTCCCAGCATTGCAGTAATAAGCATAGATTAGATCAGCATAGATTTAAAAAATTTCATCCATAAGTATTAATAATATACATTAAGTTTTATTATTTTCCTAGCATCAGAAACATCTGATGTTTTTAAAATAACATAACTGCAGGGGAAAGATAAATATTTATTGCTCTGTGCAGATAAGTGATTCAGTTGCAATTAAAAAACCATTATGAAAATAACATTTTGTAAATGGCCACCATGTTCTTTGGATTAAAATTTAAAAATTCAGATGTTTCTGGTGCATCATGTATATCAGTGTCTTATGCCAGACCAAAATCAAGGTATAAATACACACAGGAAAAAAGTTCTGTGTATCTGTGTTGAAGAATTTCACGACTGACAAGTTTTAGTATGGCAGCTTGTAGACTTGTTTTGTAAAAGCATGGGAGAGTACGAAAGAAGTGTTACATTGCATATCATACTAATTGACAGCCATATCTTTAACCAGGCTGAATTGCTATGTTTAAAGTACAGGTATCCCTCATACAACATTACTACTACAACACTGAAATTGGGGATATCCCCTGTACAATGACTTCTGGTTTTGATCTAATACTGTTTTGGAAATCCTCCATACAAAATTTTACAATTTTTAAGTGTAAACTCTCTTATTTGATATTTTGTTTTTATTCAAGTAAGCACATATGTTGTCTCAAATTTGCCCATGGATTTTAGAATAATGAAATTTTCAAATTATTTTGTGCTTTTCATCATATTTACTTTAATGAAAACTGATAGGAAAGTTAGTACAGATTTTTTTCTTCCTTCCCTTATCAACCAGGTGTTGTCATCATTGCTTTCAAACTTTAGCCCCTAAGACTCAGTGTTTTCTTTTTATAGATTAATCTTCATATTTACAAGGTTCCTATGCACCTGAAAACTCAGGGATTTTCATTCGTGTTTGGAAAAAGTCAGGGAATTTGTCTCCTTAGTTGCCTTGTTGATCTCGTTTGCTGAATATGGATGACCAATTGTAGCCATCTGCTGGCAGCAAGAAGTAATGCTGCAATCTTTAATAAGAAAATATACCAGAATCCATTTTAAAATGGCTTTTTTCATCATTCTGAAGGATTAATAACAGGATAAACTACTATTATGTAAAAGTGTTTGCTGAATTATTAAAATTAAAAATTAATTCAAGTAAATCTTCAATGAGATGAAATTCTTAATTAGAATAAAAAGTAACTAACTAAAAATTTGTTTGCAAACTTTTAAAAGTTGAAATCGAAATTTATTAGAATGTTCACTTCAAAGTAGCTAAATAGATCGGTAAAAATCTGTAATTTAATTGTTTTTCACGTTTAAAACATTATTACACAACATAAAAAATTATAAATAGTTACTTGACATTCACAGTAAAATGCTGGCACAAGCTTTTTACATTTGTTGTTACGATTTTCCTTGAAAGTACAGCAAGCATATTTTCCCCCGCGCTCCCATTTTTTCTGCAACTTCGATACATAGTTTAATAATTAGTTTAACAGAAATGATGTTTGGTAACAAATATCACTGATTTTGGCAAATTTAGGGTTTAAAAACTGGCAACATTGATTATACTTGTAATAGATATACTGTAGTTATATTTTTGAAAATCAACAGATAATCTGATAGTTTAACCAATGTTAACTTGCTTAAAAAAAATAATAATAAGAAATTTGATTAATTATATCTTTTGTGCGAAACAACAACAAAACAATTTTTATAGGTATGTTGCAAAAGAAAAAGATTTGTAGTTATGATTCTTTGTGCTGAACTTCTATATTTTAATAACGTATAATTGTAATTTTGTTTGGTGTTTATTTCTGTATTTTTTATTTTATTTTATTTGGGATTCTTAAAACTTACAGAATTTAATGTTCATAATACTATGACGTCACAAATGTGAGGTTCTGGAATTGTCCGGGAAATCACTAAAATAGAAAAACGTAAAATAATTTAATTATTAGAGAAAAAAAGGAATGAACAAAAATTTTTTATAGAAACTTGAGGAATAGTCTAGACCAGGCATGGCCAACATATGGCCCGTGATTAATTTTTCAATATTACCTACTCAAGTCCGAATAGCTTGATGAAAAATTCTGATGCCTGAACAAAAAAAGATCAACAACTCACTGTGCGTTTAGATTTAATCCTAAATTACAAATGTCTTAAGTACAGCATAGAATATTGATAAAGCATGATAATGTGAAAAATGTATCTGTAATCTCTATGTACAATTTAGCCTCTATGGGGTGACACTACAATGAGATCTTGCACCACCTCAAAATCTTCCTAGGGCAGCCTCTGGTTCAGCCCACGAAAAAAGTTTTCTTTCAAATTCGGCCTGAGGATAAAAACTGTTGGCCGCCCCTGGTCTAGACAGTCCAGCTCCATGATGCATATAATAAGAGCTGCACTGTCTAGACCAGGGGACCCCACCTCATTGGATTACTTACTGACTCTGCATGATGGAAGCCAAAACCTTATCAGTGAAGTTTGTTCCAACTTCAATCTTTCTATTTCAACATGACTAGAACTATTTGCATGTCATACTAATGCACGCTTTCCCATATTACTTAATGAGAAGGTAAACACTGAAGAACAAACTTCACTGATAAGCTTTTTAACCCCAGCAAATTCAAACTCTTGTAATAGTCAACAAAATGTGCATGAAATGGCTTCTGTTGTGGAAGATAGATCTAAGATCACCAATGAACAGTCTCTCACCAAATCAACATTTCTTAGCAGCACATTGACATTTTTTGTGATAAAAGGTGTAATAAAAGCAGAGATAACTTGGGCATTGGCAGTTGCAAAGAAAAAGATGTCACTCAATTCATGCTCTGAGATTAGGGAACATTTTTTTGAAAATGTTTTTGACTGCTATAGCCACACAATTTAAATTGGGTCCAGATAAAACTTCCTATGTATTAAATTATGGCCTAGCCCATTATTTCAGAGAAAAATTGATTAACCACTTGCCGCACAAGTGTTTTTAAAGGAATTTTTAATTAAACATAAAAAATACTTAACGCATTTCATTCGTTTTTTTCAGTTTTAATTTTGAAGAAAAAGCTTCAAACTGTATTTTCCATTGTCTCACCTTTCTGCGAAATTTGATACCGATGAGTCATTGTTTACATAGCTGGATGACCTTGAGAACAGCTGGTGTCATATTTCCTGGGACATTCTCATAGACGTCTCGGGAGGAGAAGGGTTTAAAGTAGGGTGAATACTAGCTAGACCTATATTTTTAAATATTTTTTAAAAATTTTGGAGACAAAAAACATTACAAAAATAAAAAAAAATTTTGGGGGGTCGAAAGGACTGCATTTTCTGTAACGTTATGTAACATGCCCGAGTTAACTCGGGACTGGGCCTTAATGATGTTACAAGTTGGAATAATATTACTATCTCCTTTCACGAATCACTAAACAAAGTTGCTCAAAGAACTCAAATGGATCTTGTGATACAATACTGGGACAAGAGTAAAGATAAGGTTATGACCAGATATTTAAATAATGTCTTTCTGGATCATAGTACAGGTATACCTCGCCTCTCCTGGAACCAATTACCAACGTAAGTCGAATCTACATATTGTCACTAGGCTAAACCATAAATTACCATTCCCGGTTCTGTATTTTATTTATTAATGCATTTTTAATAATATATGGTTAATAAGAATCTATTTTAAGCTTACAAACAAATAAATTTTAGCTTTTAATATAGTACAGAAAAAGTAATCTAAATTTACGAATGCAGGTACTGTAAATACAGTACATACTTGTAAATGTATAATTTAATATGATTTTGTGTGCTTTAAACATTTTTCTAGTGATATTACGACTTCAATGTTTGGCGGACAGATGTAAAGTCAAATAAAATGACTTAAACTTGATTTTTATTTTTCCATATACTTTTTTGACAAACGACGTGTAATCGGGAACGACGTAAGTCGAGGTATACCTGTACAGAAGATGATCATCTCTCTGCATTTCTCAATGGCCTTTCAGAAATTCATCTTGATCTAGCAAAAATTCTTCATATCTGTATGGACTAGGGTTTCTTAAATGGGATCCCAGCTATTTTTTAACCCGGGAAATTTTTCTCATCCTGGGAAATCCCACAAATTTCTTAAAAATTCACTTTTTTCTTATTTTGTGTTAAAATTAGGAAATTTTGCAAATA